AGTGTCACTGATGTGCTGTCATTTTTCACGGATGCTTCAGCTGTTGTCGTAAAAGGGTCATAGGACTCGGTTGTATCAAATTGAGGAACATGGGATTCCGGTGAGTTCTGAAAGAGAACGGAAGACATGAATCAATTCTACATGAAAGTTTTTGAAAACAGTTGAAAGAGGAATATTAAATCAAACAAATAAGCCTGTTCTACTAATTATAATTCATTCTTTAGGTTGCAAGTTGCAGCTGTAAGCACCTAATGATTTAATTAGTATCACTATGAATGTTGTTACGTTCCGGTGTATATAAGGGTTCTAATTTTCCTCTGGTTCGCTAGGAAACATGCAGCGTATACATTTTAAAAACAAAACTATGTTTTTCCCTTTCCAGAAATGAATAGGAAAACTGTTCTATTTGCTCGCCAACCTACTCATGATGGAGCCCCCGTAGTGCTTGCCAGGGAATCCAAAGATCCTGGGTTCAGGCCCTGACTGGGCCTGACTTTGTAAACCAAAAAAAAAAAAAAAAACAGACGTTATTTCCAGGTGAATGCAGCCTTAAATGGGCACCAATCAAAGTTAGTTTGTTAGTTTAGATAATTAGTTAGTTAGTTAGTTAGTTAGTTAGTTAGTTAGTTAGTTAGTTAGTTAGTTAGTTAGTTAGTTAGTTAGTTAGTTAGTTAGTTAGTTAGTTAGTTAGTTAGTTAGTTAGTTAGTTAGTTAGTTAGTTAGTTAGTTAGTTAGTTAGTTAGTTAGTTAGTTAGTTAGTTAGTTAATTAGTTAGTTAGTTAGTCTTTCCTCTTGAGCCTAAGGCGGCGCATAGGCCAGAGGTCATAGCTCTACATGTTGGTTGGTTGTTTGGTTGCCACCTGATTTAGGTCTTGAATATTCATTAGACCCATGTTTAAGCCTTCCCTGATGATGGTTCCACACAGAGTAAAACTAATCAAAGTCCTGGAAAGTAAAAGAGGCCGGCCTGATATGGAACATATTAGCCTGGTGTATAAAATATAGTTTGGTCCTATATACCCAAGGCGTGCAAGAGGGTCTTTTAGTTAGGACCACATGATAGTAGTTTATTTACCACTTCACGTGCTCTAGTTATAACATGTTTGCAGTTTTAACGGAAAAGGAAAGACTTGCATAACTGTTACAGTCGGGGTGATGATAATGATGTTTAACCTCACCGGGACATCACACAGAGCGAGTAACACCCGGTGACACCAAGTGCCACCATTCGGATAAAGATCAGCCGAGAACAGGTACCAGGAACCCCGTTCAACCCATAGGTGGGTTATATTAGGGCCCCTGGAAACAGTTAGGGTGGGGCTTTAAAACAACAATAAATTACGTTCGACTTTTGGACACAGGTTATTAGCAGATGCTAAAGTGCAAAGAAAACTAGAATAATTGTTGATGCGAAAGGGAAGACTAGAATAATTGTTGATGCGAAAGGGAAGACTTGAATAATTGTTGAATTGAATAGGAGCGTTTATATGATTGTTGGAGTGAAAGGGAAGACTAGTATAATTGTTGGAGTGAAAAGGAAGACTTATATAATTATTGGAGGAAAAGGGAAGACTGGAATAATTGTTGAAGTGAAAAGGAAGACTATAATAATTGTTAAAGTGAAAGGGAAGACTCATGTGTTGGAGTATAACGAAAGACTCGTTTAATTGTTGGAGTAAAACGGAACTCATACAATTATTGGAGGAAAAGAGAAGACTGGTATAACTGTTGGACAGAAAAATAGGAAACGGGTATAATTGTTGAGCTGAGAGGGAAGATTCACATAATAGTTGAAGTGAAATGGAGGACTGGTATTACTGTTAGAGTGATAGAAAATATCGGGTATAATTGTCAAGGCAAAATGAGAAGATTGTGAAACAATGGTTGGTGAAAGGGAACACTGAAAAACACGTTAGATAAAAGATTAAACATGTACCCCCCCCCCCCCCCCCCAATCCCCTAGTGGTTCCGGGCACAATTTTTGGGGGAAAGGGAAGGGCGGGGTTATACCGCCACTGTACCACGAAAAAGTTAGTTGCTTATCTTTTACAGGACAATGCAGAACCAACCCCAGCATTTTTTTTACTGTTGTGGTTTTTCTAGGCAAATTTATGTCCAGTAGATTGTTATTGCTTTCCCTTGTTGAACACACATGTGGTAATATGCAAGTAATTAGGAATTTGCTGAAATGTTGTAGGCCGAAAGAAGCTGATATCGCAGCCTAGCTTAAAGTCCAACACAACGTTCCAGACGCCCTTTTTAGGATTCAGGCGGCGTAAAAGACATATACATCTATTTAGTTGCCTATGGATTCTATTTTATATTTGTCTGTTACCTGATCATTTTCCTCACGAATCTTCCTGGACGCATAAAAGAAAGGGTCCAGTCCATTTGTGGACCCCGTCTTGGGTCCATATTTTGTGGCCCGCCTAGTGACTACCCACAGAACATCATCAACTGGTTCAGAACTTGTCACAGTTGTTGTTGTCTTGTTCTTCTTGGCTTGTTGTGACCGTAAAGTCACACGTTCCATTTTCAAAATCGCACCACAACAGTATTTTATCTTTTGTGATGTCGGACTGCATATGTGAGACGTCTTCCGGACAGCTGTACAACCTCTGCACTCTCAGAACGTCTGAAACACTCAATGGCTGACCTTTGGCCCATGTAAGTTCCGGCTGCGTATTTGGGCTTGGGGGTCATAACAGGGTATTGTGGGTCCTTGGGGAAGCTGTAAGGTCCATAGTGCATGATGGAGCCGAAGTCGTAGCTAGTACCTGGCCGAATGTAAAGGAAATGAGTCATTTAAAAAAAAAAAACTTTCGTTATTAGTCAGCGGGTCGCTTACATAACGTCGCTCTCATATCGGTACGTTTGAAAATCTCTCGCCAGCCAGGTCTCCAGCACTATGTGCTTTCAATGGAGCCTATCATTTTATATTCAGAAATGACAATGGTTCCCAGGTCGACCTAGCATTAAAGACCTGGGAAGTAAAGGCGATCAACAAGATGTTGACCACATCACTCACCGAGTGCATGTCAAACATAATGTAAATCAAATGTACCTGAAGGCATACACGCAAGGTCCCTAATTTTTTTTATTTTTTAAAAACTGTTACCCGCGTTAATTACCAAAGCATCTTTAATGTCTTGCTTCCACCTTCGAGGAATTCTGAAGCGGGACCCCTCATCAAGTTCTCTCCAGGTCACCCTTACCTCTAACATGGCCCAAACGCCTCACCTTACGGTCCGTGTTTCACTTACCATATCGTGCCGCCAATAAAAAACATTTCGTAAACTCCTGTACGAATTTTGCATAAATCTATTTTGCCCTAATGGTTCTGTATTTTACAACTGCACACAAATGGTGCTATTGTCTTAATTTTGTTTGACTTTTGTTTGATTAATAATTTATGTAACAATTTTTTTTAACAGAATATGTATTAATTGACATACGTGTGCAGATTTTTTGGAAATCAATTCACATGTGAAGCGATGCGTGTTGATCGTTGTGAAAGCCTATTCCTTACTCAATGAAAAATCTCTGAACCGCACACACAGAAATTCTTCTTCTTCTTCTTTGTGTTCGGTTTCGTATGCTCGGATCAGACCATCGGGTGGGTTTCCTCTATGAACTCGCATTTCAGCTGCAGGTCCTACGTGGTTCCCCATAACTTGCTAAGCACACTTTGCTCTTGAGGCCAAGTGTCTTTTCGCAGTTGTAAGTTGAGAGGGCAGGACTGCAGAATGTGTTCAGGTTTTTGTGGTTCGGTCTGACAGGCACATTGTTGGGACTGTACAGTCTTTATTTTTTGCATGTGGTAGATAAGCCTGAAGTGTCCTGTCGTGATTTTGTCGTCTCACTGATACCAGGTTGTAGTCCAGAGTCGTGGTTTTATCGTCTCACTAATACCAGGTTGTAGTCCAGAGTCGTCATTTAATAGATTTGTCTTGCGCTTCTCGGGTGGCTTGGGTGATGGATTTGTTCATCTTTTTGCAGGTTTCAGCTACACCACTTAGCAATCTCTTTTTTTTTCTCGTCTTCCTTCCAGATGTTCTTCTGTAAAAAAGTTGTATTCGATGTATCTTGTACAGTATCAATCAACTACACCACCGCCGGCTTGCTTGGCCCGTCGCGTGGCGGGGCAGGAAAAAATCTGACCTCATTGATGCCCGTCTCTTTCCAGGTGAGCTATTGCCCCATGGCGACTTGATTGTTCCAGTGTGCAGCACGGAGAGGTGGGACTGACCTGGGTGGTCTACGAGTCGTTGACAGGTAACTTAATTTTCACTTTTCACCTCCGAGCGCCTTGCACACCCAGTCTCTTGTACGTTGACATAATGTATTCAAACCCTCTCCCACCACCCCTTCCACCACCCATTTTACAATACATAGACAAACAAACCTAAAATGTCGATGTCACTCATATTTTTTAGGACGTAATTTCTCTCGGCATCCGCTCTCAAGTTGGTGGCATTCATGCTGATGTAGTCATCTCTGTCGAAACGGTCCTGCTCGTGATAGATCCCCAGCGTGTGGAGCAGCTCGTGCAGAAGTAAACCTTTTATGACACAGGCAGGGGCGAATGTGGACACCTGGGGCCCACTGTGAGTGGAAATCGTGAACAGGTGATGTAAATATGAACACACTAGTGCTCACACATAGACACTCATAGTCTCATACCTACCAGAACATACATACACACACACATAAAATATGTATAATTACATAGCCATTTTTACTCTGTTGCTACCTGGTAAATAGTATACTGGACACTCACACAAACACATATATAAATATACACAGTCACATACATACATGCACGAACATACTAAAATCATCATGAATCAATCAGCAAGTCCTTTACAGAACGTCGCTCTCTTCACGGCACGCCTGAAAGTATCTCTTACATAACCAGCTCTCCGGCCCCATGTGCTTTCAATGGCTATGCATCTTTAAAGTCTTGTATCCATTTTCGCAGTGGTCGACCCCTGCCTCGCTTTCCACAAACTGCATCTTCCATTACCGCTTTTTTCCCAAGCCACACTGACATCTATGTTGAGTTTCTATGGATATATAATGTGGAAGGCTCATACACAAATACACAAATACAAAAAGGAAGCCGGGGGATTGGGGGGGGGGGGGGGTGGGGGGAGCTGAACATCAATTACAAATTTTACAGTGCATAACTGGGGAAAAGGGATACAAAAAAGGAGGGGGGGGGGGGGGGGTTCTTCAACCACTGCTAACTTAGACTTTTACTTGAAAATGTGATTAGAAAATCAAATGGAAGCCGTGCGAAGAATACACACGTGAGCAAGTAAGAAATGTGGAACAAACGCAAGATACATACAGAGAGCTTATACCTACACCTGCTTGTCGACTAAAAAAGGCCAAAGGGGAGATGAAAAAAAAAAAAACAGGGAGCGCACTCTACTCACGTGAAATCTAGACCTATGACCGAACTACAGCCGTCTCCAGCGTGAGCGTCCAGGTAGTTGACTTCTGTAGTTCTGGGGATAAACCTGACACAAGGGTGAGTACTGTTGCCGACGTTCTGCTCCACTTCCCTCATAGCCGCTTCAATCGTCGCCAACTCGTCTGCCAGGTGACACGGATAAACATATCAGTGTATGGTTACAGGATCGGAAGGTCCGTGGGTTCGGGCCATGACAAAGCCGGACTTTTTTCAGAAATGACCTTGGCTCCCAGGTCGATCCAGTCTTGAGTGGGTACCAGGGGCAGTCCCGGGAAGTAAAGGCGACCGGTGTGATGCTGACCACATAACCCATCTTGGGCCGATTGGTCTATAAAATATAGGTCTAGCCCTACATGGTCTATACGCCTAAAGGCGTGGAAATAGCCCCTTACCTTTACTTTACCTTTACTTTACCTTTACTTTACTTTTACTTTACCTTACCTTTACTTTACCTTTACTTTACTTCACTAACTGAAATAAGTAGTGGTTCTAGAAAACACATTTTTGATTTCGTATACATCACAAAGATTATCCGACCAAGCCTCCATTAGGTACCAGGCCTTGGAACATAAACGCGACCGGCGTAATGATGATCACATCACCGATGGAGTGCCGACTAGTCTATACAAATACAAGATTCAATTGTCCGGCTTTGCTTGGGAGAGTGAAAGAAAGTTTTATTCTCCTCTTGGTCTCCATCGCTGTCATATCTGTAGCAGAAACTTCACGGAGGAGCGAACACAACATGAGCCTTCCGTGTTTACGTTTCTATTGGACACTCTCATTTCCTAAACCCGTCAGTGTCTCATTTCAGTACACGTCTGATGATTCTCTGAATTTTCTGAAGCCAAAAACAATAAATTCTGCGGCCAACATTTTGAAGAACAATGTTATAGAGCTTGTCACAGTTAAGTGAGGTCAGGGGTAAAGTTCCTCCTCAAGATAACACAAAGACGGGGCAGAGACCACGCTGCTACACTAGGACCCCTCCCTTAGCTTTTCTAAAGAGTAGAGCCAGAGGACACATCTGGCTGGCATTTAACTCATCAGGTACGTCATAAACAAACCAGCAAATGTATGACGCATGATGATGATAGTTGCAGTGGTCCTATCACCACATGTCTCAATAAGGACCAGACCGACCAATCAGCGTCTTCTTCACAACCACGTGACGTAGGAGACCCGGCCAAAAGAATATCAGACAGACTGACTGACTTTCTAACCCACCAGGGCATCACACAAGCGATAAACACCCGACACAATGTGCCACGATGTAGATGAGGATCACCGTGAAGAGGTCCCAGAAACCGAGTTCAGCCATTAGGCAATATTTATGACCTGGCTATATTGCGGCCTCCAGCAAGAGCCAGGGTGGGGCTTCAAATAACGAAAAATTTCATCCTTAAAAGGACGGTGAATTCCATCATATCAGACAGACAGTGGACGCAATAACCTATAGCACCAACAATTATCCAGTGAAACAAAAGCCAATTCGGGTCTCACAATTATAGTCAAAGCTTCCTAGGAAGTAGTTGAGCGTGCCCCCCTCCCCCCCCCCTTTTTTTTTTCCCCCTCTTCAGGAAACTTAATTGAATTTAATGGTGATTAACAACAACAAAACAGTTGAAAAATTTAATTTAAATAAAAACGAATAACAGAAAAGTGGTATAATGCAATGTTTTGTGGCTAAGTTTCACAGCTAATTCACACAAAACAAGCAGCCTACCTGGTGAGAATGCTTTGTCCAGGACGTAAGGCACCACTCCGCCAGGCCAAATTCGGGTCTTATTCATAACAGCTTGACGTCTGACCCTAGCACCTTCAATGACGTAATTCTCATAGTGAAAAACGTCCGACTCTCTCTTGTAGTCCTGCTCCAGGAAAATTGGTTCCGACAGCAAACTGTCCTGTGGTACGTCTGGCAAGTCACCAGATACTGACGTCACTACCGGTTTTCCATCAACGGGAAGCTTCCCAAAGCCACACAGAGCAATCAAGACCCCAAAAATGGCGGCAGACATATTGAATATTCAAACTCCGACAAATTTATTCTTCTCACCTTGCTAGCGAAGGATGTTCTGTAAATATGTGAGTTCATTGATTCATTAACTAAACTTCCCTGTTATATTCGAACACCAGATGGTGTTTTTATACACCCAACTTCAATAGCTCTGGTATTGTAACGCGAATATGTTTCTGACAGCGTCATGTATATCATTAACTATAAATCTGTTAGCTACGAAATACGGCCTACAATAGCACCTTTTTTAATGTTTCTAAATTCGTGTCCTTAACAGGGTAAATCCAAAAAGCGATGGCAAACTACTGGACGTAAAATTTGCCTAGTGAAACCACACAACAGCCAGGGGCTGATGGGGTTGGTTCTGCAACGTCCTGTAAAGGATACGTAACCAACCTTAACCGGGGAAATGGCTCTTTGTAGTGCTGCTACACATTTCTACGATTCTTCACCTTTAAATGTGCTATTATAAACAGCTTAAATTGTAATCATTTCTTTTCGTCTGAATATTTGAATAACTACGTGAGCTGGCAGTGCCTTACACTCGACTAGCTCTAGTTTCGTTAATTATCGTGTGCCGTTAACAATGTCAGAAACTTCTGCACATGTACTGCAATGGTCTCCATTTTTTAAGGTTGCGCCCCTCTTAAGTATACTGCAAGACCTGCCCGCCCCCTTGAATATATTGCAAGGATCCCCCCCCCCCCCGTCCCCTCCCCCACGGTCATTAGAATATACTGCAAGACCCACCCACGGCCTCTTAAATATCTTTCATGACCACCAGTTTCAGAATTGTTTACCCCCCCCCCCCTCCTTCCCACACACACCCCCACCAGAACCCTTTCCTCTATGAAACCTTCTTTCCCCAGCCCCGCCCGCCTGCCCCCCCCCCCGACTCGCCCCCCCCCCCCAATCCCTAGGTTGAAGGCCACTGCTCTAATGATTTAACAACTGTAGTATCCTACGTTTGTTTACCTCTAATGTTATTAACAATGTCAAGTCACTGGTCACATATTTCAATATTTCTAAATCCATCCTCCACCTCCTCAACGTCAGTTTCCACTTCTGCCATTAGGCGTTGTGGGAAGAAACAGTTTGCGATCCATCGCTTGATAGGCAGCAATCTCTACTGTCATTCCGTGTGGATGTAAAAGTACGTTCATGTCATCAATCCATCTTCTCCTAGGGCGGCCTCTTGCTTTCACTTCAGATTCTTTCATGTGTAGCGCCTGCATGTGTAGTTGTTCTGGCTGCATTCTTACTAAATGACCAAACCATTTCAAAATAAATCAATGATGATTATGTGTTTTATCATCATCACTGTCCTGTACAAACTAGTGTTATACTGTATTTCAATCACATCTGACTAAGTTAACAGAGAACAGGTAGTACAAACTAGTGTTATACTGTAGCTAATCATATCTGACCAAGTTAACAGAGAACAGGTAGTACAAACTAGTGTTATACTGTAGCTAATCATATCTGACCAAGTTAACAGAGAACAGGTAGTACAAACTAATGTTATACTGTTTCTCTGTCATATCTGACCAAATAAACAGAGAACAGGTAGTACAAACTAATGTTATACTGTTTCTCTGTCATATCTGACCAAATAAACAGAGAACAGGTAGTACAAACTAGTGTTATACTATAGCTAATCATATCTGACCATATTAACAGAGAACAGGTAGTACAAACAAATGTTATACTGTTTCTCTGTCATATCTGACCAAATAAACAGAGAACAGGTAGTACAAACTAGTGTTTTACTGTAGCTAATCATATATGACCAAATTAACGGAGAACAGGTAGTACACACAAGTGTTATACTGTAGCTATTCATATCTGATAAGTTAACAGAGAACAGGTAGTACAAACTAGTGTTATACTGTAGCTCAGTCATATCTGACCAAATTAACAGAGAACAGGTTGTTCAAACTAGTGTTATACTGTTGCTCAGTCATTTCTGACCAAATTAACAGAGAACAGGTAGTACAAACTAGTGTTATACTGTAGCTAATCATATATGACAAATTTAAGATAGAACAGGTAGTAGAAACTAGTGTTATACTGTAGCTAATCATATATGACAAATTTAAGATAGAACAGGTAGTAGAAACTAGTGTTATACTGTAGCTAATCATATATGACAAATTTAAGATAGAACAGGTAGTACACACTAGTGTTATACTGTAGCTAATCATATATGACAAATTTAAGATAGAACAGGTAGTAGAAACTAGTGTTATACTGTAGCTAATCATATATGACAAATTTAAGATAGAACAGGTAGTACACACTAGTGTTATACTGTAGCTAATCATATATGACAAATTTAAGATAGAACAGGTAGTAGAAACTAGTGTTATACTGTAGCTAATCATATATGACAAATTTAAGATAGAACAGGTAGTACACACTAGTGTTATACTGTAGCTAATCATATATGACAAATTTAAGATAGAACAGGTAGTAGAAACTAGTGTTATACTGTAGCTAATCATATCTTACCAAGTTAACAGAGAAGAGGTAGTACAAACTAGTGTTATACTGTAGCTAATCATATTTGATAAGTTAACGGAGAACAGGTAGTACAAACTAGTGTTATACTGTAGCTAATCATATCTTACCAAGTTAACAGAGAAGAGGTAGTACAAACTAGTGTTATACTGTAGCTAATCATATTTGATAAGTTAACGGAGAACAGGTAGTACAAACTAGTGTTATACTGTAGCTAATCATACTTGACCAAGTTAACGGAGAACAGGTAGTAAAAACTATTGTTATAGTGTAGCTAATCATATCTGACCAAGATATCAGAGAAGGAGTGGTACAGACTAATGTTATACTGTAGCTCATTCATACATTAAAGGTAGAATCTTCCGCTGGAGTGTCAGTTGTTAGACTTTCGTGTATTCTACATGACTACCTACACTAAGAGTTGTCCAGCTCTCTTCCAATTGCTTCCTAACCAGACAACCCCATTATTATGAAATGCTTGTATACTTATGTTCATGATATGTTATCAGATTCGTCGCCACTGCACTTTGGGCACTGCCAAGCGGGCTTAGTCCTCCGATGAAGCACAGTGCCCTACTGATTGTTCCAATGAGAAGTTTGTTACAGTGCCTATTGTCTTGACCTCGAAGACGAAACTGACTCGCCTCATCTTACTCCAAGGTCACACAACCCTGTAAAGGTCAGAGATTCATCATTATCCGACAACCCAGTCCACACAGCTCTAGTGATATCAGCTCTGCAAATTCTTCTTTTCCTATTACCTGGCATACTATTTTTTTTTTTTTTTTTTGACCATGTCCAACCGAGAGTTACACTGACCTAAAAAAAAACAAATTCTTATTCTGCCTTGCATTGAACTGCATTATTTGCTGGACTAGCGAGATCACTACTAATAACCACTGTGCTACAGGGGTTCGGTAATAACAAATGTCCAGTCCAAAGCATAGTAAATATTAATTAACAGTCTAGTTTACAGTAACGCAACAATATTAAACGCAACAGATTTACTGAAGATCCTGTCTTGGAAACACCAAAGGAACCCGACTGTTCCAGCAAACAGCAAAATCAAGTCGCAGAACGGGTCTAAAAAAGAGAAGTTCACAACCTGGGTAAACACAGCCCTACAGCTGACAAAACCTGGCCTAGTTCTGATCTATCATACCCTTTCTTGGTTAGGAGTCAGGTGTTGTATGACTCTGCCAAGCGTACATCATTAGACAGATGTTTTCTTTAGTCAGCTCCCTCAACTTTAATCCATAGCTAAGCACATAGACTGGAGACAGAATTAGTTTGGATGTCTAGTCTGTTCAATTACTCTGCCTCGCCCATTCAATTTCTACGTCTAACCCTTCAGTCAATGTCTAGTCTGTTTAATTACTTTGTCTCGCCCATTTAATTTCCATGTCCAATCCTTTAATCAATGTCTGGTTTGTTCAATGACTTTCCCTCGCCCATTCAATTTCTGTCTAATCGTTCAGTCAATGGCTAGTCTGGTAAATTACTTTGTCTCGCCCATTAAATCTCTGCATCAAATCCTTTAATAAATGTCTGCTTTTTTTCAATTTCTATGCTTGATCGTTCAATCAATGTCTGATTTGTTCAATGTCTACGTCTGATCGTTCAAACAATGTCTGGTCTGTTCAATGTCTATGTCTGATCGTTCAATCAATGTCTGGTCTGTTCAATGTCTATGTCTGATCGTTCAAACAATGACTGGTCTGTTCAATGTCTTAGTCTCATCGTTCAATCAATGTCTGGTCTGTTCAATGTCTTAGTCTCATCGTTCCATCAATGACTGATCTGTTCAATGTCCATGTCTGATTGTTCAATCAATGTCTGGTCTGTTCAACGTCTTAGTCTTATCGTTCAATCAATGTCTGGTCTGTTCAATGTCTTAGTCTCATCGTTCAATCAATGTCTAGTCTGTTTAATGTCTGTGTCTCATCGTTCAATCAATTTCTGATTTGTTCAATTTCAATGTCTCGACCATCAAATTTTTAAGTTTAATCTGTTCAATGTATGTCTAATCTGTAAAATTTCTATGTATCGTTCTTTTAATTCATATGGTTAATTCTGTCAGTTTATGTCTAAACTGTTTAATTTCTATGTCTGATAAGTTCCATTTATATCTGCTCTGTTCAAGTTCTATGTCTTGCCCATTCAATTTCCATGTCTAACCCTTTCATTGTATGTCATATTTGTTTAATGTTTGTCTCGACCATGCAATTTGTATGTCTAATCTGTTCTGTATTTGGCATATATGTTCGATGTCTGTCTCGACCATTCGATTTATGCCTGGTCTGTTCAGTTCTTTGTGGGGACGGTCCTTTATCTGACCAGACAAAAGACAATAAAGATCTAGTCCGTTTATTTTGTATTTATATCGTCTTTTTATTTTGAATTTTGTCTCGATGGTATAAATACACCATGGATCGAGAAAAGAAAAAAAAAATCGACATTCTAAACGAGTTAAACAGCAGG